AAACAGAGGTGGGGGCCTCCGTTTTCAGTTGTCCCCCTCCTACAGCGCTGCTATTGGCAGTATCACTCCACCCCCTGTCAACGATAGCCATGTGATGTGAGTATCAGTCACATGGAGGCAGTGCTTAAAAGCCTGAATTTAGCCTGAAACTCTCAGACTGAAGAAGTCTCTTGGAGGAGAGACAAAAAGTTTCATTAGAGAAGAACCCGTCCAGAAGACCTATACAATTTTTTTCCTTTTGATTTTTTACCTGGATTACTGAGATGCATCAGGACACTGCTCCCAGTACTGACTGGTTCCACAAAACCCGTAAAAGTTGGCTAATAACTGTCAGAATGAACTTGATTTGTTTGCTAAATATCTCATGGAAGCCGAGAGCGGCCATTTTCTGCAGAAAATTTTCTTCCATGATTTCCCATGGAAATAACGAGGATCGTTTTCTCGAAATAACAAGTTAAATATGTTGTAATCACTAAATAACGAGGAGCATTTTATTGAGATAATGAGTTAATTTCCCAATGGTTTTATCAAGATAATGAGTTATGGTTTTCTTGTGTATCAATCAGTAAAAATGGAGATGTCCGATCCACTCAGCTGGTCACCTTTAAAGTTTATTAAATCAGCAGGATCAGTGTGTAAAACACCTGCTGATCTGCAGTCGGGCCAGCCGTCTTATTAAATGATGAGGGCTGATATGACAGTTAAGACAAACAAATTACATTTTCATTGATACAAATATGACACAAATTATTTACACTAGGCTGCCTCCAGGCTGCCCTTGCAAAAGAGAGCTGCGATCTCAATGAGATTTGCCTGATTAAATAATGATAAGTAAATAAATAAATAAATAAATAAATAAATAAATAAATAAATAAAAATGGTCCAAAAATGTGCCAGCTGAGGGCCGTCTCCATGGTTTCTGAATGATACACAAGAGTAAAACCCTAAAAACAACAACAACAACAAAAAAAAACATTTTATGTTGTCACAAGAAAACCATGTAAAATAATTAAATGCAGAAAACGGCCGCTCTCGTCATCTGTACATGAGCCAATGATGTCTTTTACTCACCATAAACCTGTTGGCTGATTTTCCACATGACTGGTGAAGAAGAACAGGCACCACCAGACAGATTCTGTGAGGCTTCAGCAGCTCGGAGATCTGATCTGTTTCAAGACCAGCAGACAGAAGAACACCAGAGCTGAACTCAAACTGTTATAAAACAGCATTTCATCGGCATAATGCAAGGAGACTTTCGAAAAAAGCATTATAACCTGTTTACCAGCTTTGAGAAAACCTCTCTGAGGTAAATTATTAAAGAGATAATTTGGTCATTTTTTTTATTTTGTTGTAATGTTCTAATCATTCAGCCAGAAGGTTCGTCTTTTTACCCCAACGATCACAATTACAGAAAAAATAACTAGACTTCAGTTGTAAAAAAGATGGACTGGAATCACTGATTGCTCCAAAATACACCATCAACATTTAATTATAGGTAAGTGTAAGTCCCAGTCAGTGGTTCTGGCATGAGTGGACCATTTCTACTGCTCCACCAACATCTAGGCAAACAAGTGATCCATTTTATGAGCTGAATAAAACAGATCAAACTCATATTTGTCACATCTAATGTATCCAAACAATTACTTTGATCAAGACAAGTTGTTGAAATAGACAAGGTTGTGGTTTATGGATCTGGTATTTAATTATAGAACAATAAATATCTTAGAAGTATTTTCCAAAAAACTAAAGAAGTTTGTGGCTCATCAATAAAGGAAGCAGTTAAAATCATATAGTTTGTTACACCCTTTACAGTTTGGCTTTTGTCCTCACTCCACAGAGACTACTTCTTTATTGAACCAGTCAAATCACCATTTGACCATGGTGAAGTAGTTGGAGCAGGAAATTTAGATCTGAAAAAGGCATTTAATACACTGAATCATGATATTTTTATTGAACAAAAAACTACCAAATTTTCATTTCTCCAGTATAAGTTAGTGTTTTACATCATATCTTGAAAAATGTCAGCAGGTGTGGTATCGAGAAATCAATTTTTTCTTACAATGAATACTGGTGCACCACAAGGCTCAGTTCTCAGTTTTTTAGTTTTTATATGAATGGTTTACCAGATTTGCATCCCAGTGCAAGTTTTTAAAAACACCTCATTAGTGTCAACACAGCTGTCATCATATTCAGAGTCTGTTTCAGTGTGGTTTGAAAAGTTGTGTCTTACATTGAACATAAAACAAAAAAACATTAGATTTTCCTCAAGTGTTCAGACTCAGAACAATGGGACTGTTTAAACTTGAAGTTCAGAGGTCAACATGTTGAACAAGTTTCAGGAGAAAACCCAACTGATCACATCACTATCATCCTCTCAAGAAACTTAAGAGGAATTTTTAACATTTTGTCAAAGTTTCTTACCTTGCACTTATTTTTAAACGCTTAAAAAGAGAAACTCCTCGGGTGTTCAGGCACTCTCTGGTTTCTCTCAGACCCACAGGCTCAGCAACGTGTGGAGCGTGGGAATTGTAAAGTTCTTTTTCATGCTGTCTTTAGAGATAACATGTTCCAGAGATGAAACAACTGAACAAATGCACCTTTTTTAAATCAATCTGTAGTTTCCCTTGTCTTCAAGGTGTTGAGCAGCTTGTGTTCACCGTGATGTTGCTTAGAGTTCCCATTAACTATAATATCATCCAAATAGTTCTGGACCCCTGGCAAACATTTCAGCAAGTCCAACAGGTCTTTTATCAACTGAAAAAGTCTCTTGTGAAAGCAGCAGTAAAGGTGGAGAGGCAGTTGGTGGTAAGTTGAGCTTAAATCAGTTTGGGGATGATGTGAGGCACCAGTGAAGTGGTCCACATGAGGCAGAGGGTGACAGAGGTCCAAAATCACAGTTTTATTAGGCTCACAGACATCAGAACAAAACATTGTGTCTCTTTTGTTTTTAAAGGCCACCAGAAGGCTGGAACGTTCAGTTGTGTTTGAGCTCTGCTGAAACCCCTTCATGCAGGCTGAGTGGTAGATTTCTTGTTTTTTTTTGGTACACAGGTTGCTCTGTGTTGACCTGAACCTTGTAGATGAACTTTGACACATCCAAGATGGCGGCTGAAGCAGAAACACTATTCATCCTGTGTGTTTTTGTGACAGTGAGATGGCTTTTGTTTTTTAGCATCACCCTCTTTATTTAAAGTCACTTGCTTTGTGCAGGGCCTGTGGCTGCATGACCCAGGGCACCTGCTCTCCTATGTTTGTTATGTTCTGTCTTCTTCTGAATGGGTGTTCTGAACTGTAATTTCATTGTGCTCT